TTGTTTTGTTTTATTTATTATGTTTCTTATTTATTTATTTTTGGATTAGATCATAGATATGTCCATGAGTTAAGAGATGGAATGATATGATGATTCACACTCATGTACAGTAGGTGGCGGTATGCACCTTAAAGTTGTTTGCAATCCGCCAAAAAACCCAGAGAAGAAGAAGTCAACTGGTTTGCCAACGGACAATTTACACCGAAGAAGAAGAAGCGAACATTTCTGGCGGGTGACATTTAGAGTATCATATTACATGCTATGTCTGACTCTGAGAAAAGCCTCTCCGAATTGTTGAGAGAGGCAGCCAACCGCCGGGTTGATAGACCGGACAGCACATAGGTAGCGAGCATATCGCCTGGAATATCCAGAGGCGGGCGTCCTGCACCTGTGCTTGAACCAACTTCTTGGACATCTTCCACACGAACACGGTGCTCAATCAGTGTCAAAGTATTTACAACTTCGTCATCCGTGTCGATATCTCGAAGAGCGCTTATCCGCCCGAGTACTTCGATAAAGTCTTCAATATGGGCCAACACTTGTTGGTAAACCGTGTTGATCAATTTGATCTGCTAAGGATAGCATAGCATCTTGGAGCCCACCGACGTCTTCCATGTTGTCTGCCCCGCCTTATTTTCATTTAGTAGTTTGCCTTATAGTAGTTTTTCCTTCTCCTCCATTTTCTTCCTCTTCTCGAGTAGTCAGTGTTGTGGTGCTGTTGCTTTGGTCTGGGTCTCTGGATCTGTGAGCTAACCACGCCCCGTTCATTTGCATATAAGGAATGGAAATATCTCATCATGAAATACAAGTCACCTGAAATAAATAAATGCGTCTTTATGAAATACAAGTCATCTGTATTTATTTAATTATTGATGTATTTATTTAATTTTGGCTTAAATGGCATTCCATACTCCTCTGAGCGGTCATTTTAAAGAGACGTCCATTAATGATGACAGGAAGCACAGCAGCACTCTGATGGACAGATGTGTTCATGACGACTTATATATATTTACTTTTAATTCATTGACAGTGCGGTCATCTGTCCATCAGAGTGCTGCTGTGCTTCCTGTCATCATTAATGGACGTNAAACTGTGTCCTCTCTGCACTGAGGCTGCAGCGTTATGAACAATAATACACACACACACTAATCACCTTTGCACAACGATCACACACCAACATTATATTTTTTAATTGATTGTGCATACGAGTGTCTCCCCCAGGATTTTTTTGTATCAGCATGGAAAGATGTGACATTTTAGACCTTGAGCTGGATGTTGGCTGGTCCTCCATGCCCGTCTGAGAGCAGGGGACACACTAGTGTACACACACACACACACACACACACACACACACACACACACACACACACACACACACACACACACACACACACACACACACACACACACAAAAACCTAGACAACGTGCATAGAGCAATTGTCCTGAGACTGAAAATCAACTTGTTATAAGTTGGACTAGAGTCACCAGCTCTTCTGAGTCATTGAGCTGCTGTGAGGATGACGGTTACCTTCAACACTGCGACATCAGAGCTCTGAAACGAGAGGTGAAGACGTATATCTGAGGCTCTATTTCTGCATATTCTAAACAAGGCCTCCAGTATCACACACTCATGCATTAGCTCTGATGCTGTGGGTGCAAGTTCTTATAGTGTAACAGATGGCACTCACTCCACTACACAGAAACATTACCTTCCTGTCTTTCACACATTTATCATGAGCAATAGATCCACTTTCACACAAGGACAGGGGACGTCTGCTCATATGTGTGACACACAGAGTCCTCCTCACTGATGAAATCCTTCTGCCTCCTCTGTGAAAGTGATGAATGTACCAAATAAGACTGAATGTATTGAACCTCAAGCAACTCTGTTCAGCCCCTGAAGAGGATTCGGCCTCACAGAAAGTGGAGAGTTGGAAGTATGGGGGAAGGGTTGGAACGTGACACGGTTGCTTGAGGAAGAGAACGCGATTCACTCGATGTTGGCACCGGATTACGCCTTGTCAGCTGAAAGACAGGAGCCTGGCATCACCCAGGTGCCGGTCAAGGTGCAGTGTGGGATCTTTTTAGTGCCTCTTGGGTTTTCCTGATCATTAAGTGAAATTTCATAAGGGAAGATATTTGATTTCCTTGTAAAAATGTTAACAGATCCATGTGTCTCACAAATCAAAGATGGTCAAACCTAAAGGGACAGTTCATGACTAAATCAAATGTAACTTAAAGGTTCATCCCAAAATCAAAACCACATGTTTTTTTCCTCTTACCTGTTGTACTATTTTGGAATCTGGATTTTTGTGGTGCAAGAACTATATAACCAGATGGTATTCAGCTTGTGGTGCTCAATGCACCAAAAAACACATCCAAAAATCTCAACACTAATGTACGAACTCACAATCCTGTAAGTCATGA